GACGACTATGTCACCGCAAATCGCTCCGCCTAGGTGCGATTTGCGGTTATCCGACTAATTTTATTAGCTACTTGCAAACTTGTCGAATTTTTGTTGATGGGACGCGTCGTCTAATTTTTTAAGAAAAACATCAAGAGAATATCGTTTCCCCTCTCACGGATACCCCGTAGCTACAGAACGGATAACCGTACTGTATATTATAGTTATTTAGAGTAAAACGTAATGTAAAAAATATGTAAATTCTTTCGAATAGTTTTATCAAAAGTGACAGTTGAGGTAAAGCACGTTCATCCGTTTAGCAAATGTCTTTTTGTCTCTCTATTGAACTTGTTTTTCAGCATAGCACCAAGCTAAATCGCATTTATTTTTTGAACCGCTGCCTTTCAGTGAAGAATTAAAGTCAACCCTTTCGGGAGTCGGATTAGTAGAAATATCAGAAAATGGACGTCAAAAAAGCGTGTACCGGTTAAAGTGCTACGCGCCAAACGTTCCACACACTTATTATTCTCAAAATAGACCAATAAATAGTGCTGGTTCGCTTAACCGGCAATTTTCACTTCAAATTGTTGCCAATACGTTTCGCTACAAAAACTATACTTTGTCCGGCTGGATGGATGGAAGCTAACGCTGGAAAGGTTGTTTTATACCGTAAAATAGAAATGCTGAAATTATATTGTTCTATTCTATCGGTAATTGATGGTTATTCGATTATATATTAGCTGTACTGTATGATATAATTAGGCGTATTTTAAAAATAACAGAACCTGATATATGACGATATATTGACGAACATTTATATTAAAAATTGTTTACTAAAAATATCATTCTAATTATTTTTTATTTTTAGTTTTCATTTTTTGAATAGAATATAATAGCATACCACCTGTTTAAAAAAAATATAAGTACCTATTAATAAATTCTTATTGGTCTAAAATTAATTTAATTTAATACAAATGTCTATGACATTTCACCCTGTAGCATCTAATTAAAACATCTTTATATACAGGGTGTTTCAAAGAACATATGCCATCTCTGGTGGGGAGATTCCTCACGTAAAAATAATATTTATTTTTCCCATTAACATAGGTCCGATTCTGCTTTGTTGCGTAGCTGCAGGGTGTTAAATTTTTAATATATCTTTCGATTTATTATAATTTTCTTCCAAGTACTTTGAATGATTCGAATGAAATTTTCAGGATAAAGTGCTACATATTATTTTAATACTAAAAAAGTGTCGATAAATTCATCAGGGACGTGCATTTGGGTTGTCACTGGAATATTTATCGAAAAAAAAACATGTGCGCTACTGACTTTTTTCCTTTGATATCAAATTTGTGTAAGGCATTTAGTGTCAATCAAAAGTTATCTCTTGGCATTTTGTTGAATTCGGCCTTCTTGATGAGATAAGCGCAATTTTATTAATCACAATTAATAAAATTAAAATAAAAATAATATATAATTATCTCTTGATATTTTGGCGATTTCGACCTCCTTGATGAGATAAACGCAATTTTATTAATTTGCCTTGATCCAAGTCCAATAGCAATTTTTATTATATATTTTGCTAATTTATTATTAAATATTATTACTATGAGTTATTATTACTATTAGTCCAACCTACAGCAATTTCAAATAAAATTATGGTATTTAAGATAATTACAAAAAACCTAATTTTAAATAGTTTTAACATCCTATAACTCTAAAACTATGCATTTCCATATCCATGTTTATAGAAACTTTTTTTCATATTTTTTTTGATGAGGAATCAATAAATACTTATTTAAAACTTTTGTAAGTTAATGATATTAATTGCTATTAGACTTGGATCAAGGCAAATTAATAAAATTGCGTTTATCTCATCAAGGAGGTCGAAATCGCCAAAATATCAAGAGACAATTTTGATTCGGTATTAAACTGCTTACATTATTTCACTAACGAGAGAAAAAAATGTCAGTGGCGTGCATGCTTTTTTCAGAAAAATATTCCAGTTATAACCCATATGCACGTCCCTGGTAAATATGTCGACATTTTTTTAACAAAGTTTCATTCGAAACGCTTAGAGTACTACTTGTAAGAAAATTATAATAAATCGAAAAAATATTAAGACTTAATCTAACACCCGGTAGCTACTATGTATTGTTGATAGTTACTTCGCAATATAATAATTAATATCAATGCATGATAATTCCAGACCTCACGTTGTACGGGTACCGAGCGAATCAATCTGGATGAGGATGGAATTTCAAAACTGGAATGGCTTACTATTATTAGCGAGGATGTCAATCTTATCGGGCACCACTGGAACGAACTTAAAAGATCAAGTCATTGTCTCGCTACGCAATAACAAACTTTGCAGGACTTACGAAATGCACTGACAGAATAATATTACTATAATCCACAGGAAGGAATAACTGAAGTTATAACTACGCTTATTGCTAGAGTTGGAAATACAGACTATTTTAGTTTTATTTGTCAATAAAATTAAGTTTTAAATTAACGTTTTATTATACACTTGAAGCTGGTACAGAAATAAGACAATGATACGTTTCAAGAAACAAAAATGTTAATTTAAATCTGTGTAATACCGCCTAAAAAAAACGTCAAGTATAATCGATTTTCTAATTAGTATAAAACTCATAAATCTGAATAAGAAATAAAACACGTTTTAAAACACAAATTAAGTTTATCAAAATATTCTTTTTCCGTAGAATATATTATTTTCATAATTTGATAAACCATGATAAACACTTTCTTAATTTAGACATTTTGAAATAAAATTGCCTCTATTTAGCCCAGCCCGTATAACCTCCAGTTTCCGAGATACCAAGGATGAGGCTCAAATTTTGACACCCTGTACAGTGTCTTATTAGTTATGATCTTAGTTAATAATATTTTATTGATAAAAGAATTAGTAATGTGGTATTAGTACTTTATACAGGGCGAATCTTGAATAAGTGCAAATATTGTTAAGGGTAGTATATTTCAACCCCAAAAACACGATTATGAGGTTTTTTGCGAATAAAAAAATTGAAAATTTGGATTTTTTTTAGTTTTTAATTAAAAAAACATCATTTTTTGATAATACGGCAACATAGGTAGTAGATTAAATTTACAAGAAAGAAAACCCAGCAAAGATCCAGCAGTTCTCAAAATTTAAGCAAAAAATCATTTTTTTTCGAAAATTTTAAAGTAAAATAACTCGGTTATTTTGGACTTATTTGAAAAACGGTAAATAGAAAATATGTTTCTTTTATCGAGATCTACAAGTCCTGAAAATATTTGCACTTTTTTAAGACTCCTGTATAATTACTTACAAGGTAAAGCCGGAGTCTCATGCACCCGAAATCCGATGGTACGACATCCGAAATTTGAAGTTATCCTGTGAAATAAAAAAAGCCTGTCACATACATCCGAAAGTTCGTTCCGAAATTTGACAGTTTTGACATTTAGACCTGTCATTTCCTATCAACAGTATCCACATTATTACATGTATTATTGGAGAAACACTTATAAAAATAACTTCCTCGCCATATATACCCTTCCCACTAAACTTGTTTTTAAAAACCAATGTTTTCAAAAAAAGTGAGGTTAAAAAACACACGATATCGTACAAAAGTTAAACAAAATTTAACTTTATACGACGTCGGACGATTAGTTAAAAATATCGGATAAAAATTGGTGTCAAAATATTTCGACCAATACGAGCACCGTCGGATCGTCGTGTCATCGGATTTCGGATGCATGAGACTCCGGCTTAATACTTTTTATATCATTTGCGACGTTTGAGATTGAATAAAAAATTATTTGTAACGTTTGAAAAATAGCATGTTCTATTCAGAGAAATATGTACTTTTTGTGTCTGGGGGCATGTAACGTCAAACGTACAGGCTCGCCACATAAATTATAATTTTTACTCAAAATAAACCTTTGAATAAAAAGCTTAAGGAAGGAGAATATAGTCCACGGAAAGAGGATTCTAGGTTGCTATCCTTGACAGTTCTGTTTAACGTTTCATTTGGCACATTTGAATTTGATTTGACATTTTGTGCATTTGTTAGTCTTTAGTGAGCTGATTTTATGTTATTTATTATTTATTCTACTACTGTTGCTAGTTGTTTAAAGGTAGTAAATCTATAAGGAAATTGTGGCAGAACATAAATTAACAGTGACTCTATTGCGATTTATCGAAAAAGACTCTAAAATAGTCGGTTGTGTAGCGTGCGGTAGATCTCGGTCCAAAATCGAAGAAAATAATGAAATAACATTTCGCTAGTAAGTAAAACCGGTCATTTATGGAATTCACTTAAAATTAACTAATTATATATTTTTTTCTTGCATTTTTGCCTTTTATTTAATACTTGTCAAAGATTAGATGTCAAAGAATTTAGATACGTCAATTTGACTTACCCGCGTCAGTAGCGTATTGGATGTCTGTGTTAATAAATAATTATTATAAGTTATCTATTTTTATTAGAATTATATATTTTTACGGACGACGTAAAATAAAATAACAAATTATTGAGTCTACCTCACGTCTACCCTACATCATATTTTTACACGTTTGAATACACTTAGAGCGGCACTGATAAACCGGAATTTAAGTCGGCCATTTTAGGGTCCCGTCGCGGTCGCTTTGAGAGTTTTGATATGCTTCTTACTTTATTTACACGGATCCTGAATTGCCATTCTCAATCATACTATTGCCTGCCGAGTGTCTTGTGCCTACTTTAGTAAGCATCTAAGTCGATTTTTACTCACGATATTAAAAATATTTTTAAAAAAAATAAACAATTTTTTGTTTTATTTATTCTTCGAACCACTGGAAAAGAAACAAAAAAATAACTACTTTACACTAACCCGTCGCGTCGTAGGAACAGTTTCAAATTTTTTTCTTGTCTTTTGAACTGTTGTCGCCTACGCGACCGTTGTAGTGGCCATGCGTGGTAAAAAAGGCGCTAAACCAACGTGAAGAGAGAATATATAAAGGCTGTCATCTCCTGCCAAGTTATCACTCGTGCGGTAATCAACAGGTGAAACAGCTTGTATCAGTATCGCGTGCCATTCCAACAAGTCAGTTCACGAGCTTCAGACGCCAAGAGTTTGTAAGTACTTACTTAATTTATTATAATATTTTATTGTATTTATAAGTTTCGTAAAATATGTACTATAAATTATATATTCTATTTTATGTGAAGTTATGAACAAATAACATTATTTAAAATTAGTTAAAACAGTTTGTAAGTAGGTACCTGGTTAATTTAATAAATAATTATAGTGTATATAAAATTGTCGTAGAGTGTTGTATAAATTATAGATTTTTTTTCCGCGTAAAGATAATACAGGGTGAGTCTTAAATAAATGAAAATATTTTTAAGGGTTGTATATTTTGACCCTATAAGGTTTTTTCAGAAAAAAAAAATCAAATTTAAAATTTTTTGACAGACTTTTTGGATTTTTTTGAAATTTTTAGTTAAAAAACCTATCTTGATATTACGGCAACGTAGGTAGTAGATAAAATTAACAAAAAACAAACCCTGGAAAAGTTCTAGTGGTTTCTCAAAGTTTATGCAAAAATTCTTTTTAATTTTAATAGAAAAATAACTCAGTTATTCTGGACTTATTTGATAAACAGTAAAGAAACAATTATGTTTTTTATTGAGATCTGGAAAGCAGCCCTGAAAATAGTTATACTTATTTAAGACTCGCATTGAAAAAGAATAGTTATTTTTTATACAAGACGGTAAAATGGTATTTTATTTACGATAATGCAATTTTATGCATAGCGAGTTACGTTTTAAAAAATATTCAGGAATTATTATTTCAAGGAATTTATTACGAGTAGAAAAAATATTGTTCTGGGTTGGCGTTGGTTTCTATGTAATTTGACAAATAAATAAAGCTCTTTCTTTAGTTGTCAGTTTTGAGTCAATATTTTTTAATTCTCTTTCGTGTCAATTGTTGATTCAATTGGAGCCAGAAATGGCTCAAAACGAAATAAGTAAATTACCAACAGATATTCAGGCTGAGGCGACAAACGCCATATCCAAACTACTTCTATTTAAATCCCGAATAACTTATGAAAAGGAATACAAAAATTTTCAAAAATGGAAGCAATTAAAAAACGTGCGAGAAGAAATAAAGTTTTTAACCTATCCTCGCTGTTAAAGTATCATTTAATCTACTCTTGCGGTTAAAGTACTATTTTTGATAGATATAAGGCAATTTTAACAGTTGCTATGGAAAAAAGTGATTAAAAGTTATTTCTTAGAAACTTTTAAAAAGTATTTGCCTTTTTAACCATTATAATTATCATTCTAGCTGATTCTATAGCTTATACTAGGTTCATTTCTCTATGCACATACACGAAACAATATATTTCGTATAATAGTTGTGTTATATTTTATTTAAGTTTATATTAATCTGCCACTTTTTTTATATTTTATTTTAATTACTTAGTTTTTAGGCAAAATTTTTTAATTTCCTTGCATATTCGAAAATGTTTTGTATTTTTAAGACAAGGTCTGCGCACATATTGTTTTTCGAACGCTACATTTTCATTCCGAAAAAAAATATTTAGTGGTTTTAATAGTAAGTAATTCATACTATACGGGGGGGGGCACCATCGCATCATACATGTAATATTCTCCGTTCGGTATGCTTGTATACAATATCTTTTCGGATGCCTGTAGGTGCGGATTTTACGAGAAATTTTATTAATTCTTTTAACATTGGATATACATACTGCAAATCTTGTTACTAAATTTTGTCTTGTTTATTTTACATCCAGTGGTAATGAAATTGAACATAATTTTTTTACGGGAATAATGAGAAAATATCACTTTACTGAAGCAAACTGAAACGCTTCATGTATGAATATGTGGATGTGGATACACCGTTCGGTTGTTAGAATGGAAAGCTACGTGCCGGAAACGATTCGTATATGATAATGTGCACAGACCTTTACAGTTCGATAAATCAACATTGAAATTTTGACGTACCCCTATAAAACTATCCAAACATACAGCAATTAATTTCACATCGCTCAGTAAAAACAATATTTAACTACTTTTTTATTCTAAGTACTAAAATTCAAATTTATGTTCTCCTCTATCAATTTTAGAAAAGATCTAGAAAGTTTTTTTTAATTTTCTGAATAATAATAATAAAAAAATTGTATAATGTTTGTCCAAAATTCATTCTTATGCTGAGCAAAGAGTCATTATACAGGGTCAGTCTTAAATAAGTGCAAATACTTTTTCTGGGCTGTAAAATCTCGATAAAAGAAACATTATTTTCTCTTTACCGTTTTTTCAAATAAAAGAAAATTTCCAAAAAAATGATTTTTTTATGATGATCTTATCTTTTCTAGGTTTTCTTTTTTTTTAATTTAATGAACTACCTATGTTGCTATATTATCTAGAAATTATGTTTATTAACGAAAAACTAAAAATATAAATAATTTTTCTCAAAAAATTCCAATTTTTCAATTTTTTTTCACGAAAATAACCTTATATGCGTTTTTCTGGATTCAAAATATACTACCCCTAAAAATATTTGCACTTATTTAAGACTCGCCCTGTATATAGTTTTTTAAGTTAAAAGGAAGCATTATTTGGAGATTTTTGTGATGAGTTAGTGAGGCATATTTTCTTTATACAGGATAAAAAGAACTAATTTCAGGATTGGTAGATCTCGATAAAAGAAACATATTTTCCCTTTACCGTTTTTCAAATAAGTTCAAAATAACTGAGATATTTGACTTAGAAAATTTAAAAATAAGTGATTCTTTGCTTAAATTTTAAGAACCACTGGATCTTTAGTGATTTTCTTTCTTGTAAAATTATTTAATCTACTACATATGCTGCCATTTTATGAAGGTATTATATTTTTTAACTAAAAGTTGAAAATAATTCCAAAAATTTGTTCAAAAGATTCCAAATTTTCCAATTTTTTTTCGCGAAAATAACCTCGTAGACGTATTTCCTGGGTTGAAATATACAACCTCTAAGAATATTTGCCCTTATTTAAGACTCACCCTGTATAATTCGTAAATTCCAAGAAAATAAAAAACATAATTACAGTACAAAAATTTAGTGGTTATAAAAAATGGACATAGTTGGTATTTTAATTTTGTTTTCTGAAATATGTTTTCTAGTTTTATAAATTTTGAGTTATGATCATTCTAATGGTTTTTCCCATGTGAATTTGATTTTGATCATAATTTTAGCAATAATATTTTTTATTAATTTAAATAATCGAAGATATAATCACTAGAAACACAAAAAAAGATATGACAAAAGGTGAATCATCCCTTTATTCATTATGCTTATTTTAAGAATAATATGTTAAGGTATCAGAAAATGTAATATAATGCTCTTTATTTAATTAGTTTTTATATCTTGAAAACAATTTCCGTTTTTTTGGCCACTAAAAAAAAATTTACACAAAATTATAAAGTTATTTCTTCAAAAAATTCCTATGGGTCGTCTATAAAAACCGTTGACGTTCTGTTAAAATAATATGTTCTAATCAATGTGTTCGTCAAAATAATAATAAAATAATAATATATATAATAAATTTATGCCGAACAAATAAATTAAAAAAATAAAAAATAAATTATTTGAAAATTGTGAAAACTAGTGTAAAATTAAAAATTCAATTAAATCACGAATATAAATTCTGTGGTTGCAGAAACTAGATTAAAATTAAAGTATATAATAAAACTGACGTTTAACAATATAATACAGATATTAAATATGTAAAAGAGCTTATCGCTATTAAATTATGCATTCTACTACAGCAGATGTAACAATAATAAAGTTACAATGAATATTAAAGTAAAAAGTATTAAGTTTTGAGATTAAAATTTCTATGTTAAAATTTTCTAATCTTCTAAGGATTATTAAAGATTTTACTTTTTATTTTTTTTAATATACAAATTATATCAAAGTATAAAATATAATAACATTACCAATAGATTAGATTATTTTACTTTACGGATTTTTTCTTATGCAAATAAAATATTTTCAGCAAGTTACATGAACTGTGGATGCATTATTTAGAGATACAAATTAGATAAAGAGTTTTTTCGTGTCGGTTGATCAGATAATATGACAATAACAGATATTGGGTGATTAAGGTCTAAATTTATCTTTTATCGTAATAACAGACACTTATCTAATTATGTGTACTACAGAAATATCTGAAATGTCTATACTGTGTGGTGCATCGGAACGTGAGACATAGGAATTAACTCCTCAGATGATTTGATTCAAAAATTGTATTAGACTTTTTTGAAGAGGCGTCAAAGTGAAATTGTCGTCTAGAATTTCGTTTTATTTAGAACAGGCATCTAAAAGTTATTTGCAAAAATCTACCTTCAAACTTCATATTACTGAATTTTTTTAATACGGCCCAGAGAAGCTACAATTAAAATACCAGCAAAAATATGATTTTGTCATTGTCAAATTCGATGTCACATTTTTTTTTGTTTACAAAAATTTCTGTGGTTTCAAAAAGGTGGATAATTTTTTCTGAATTGGAATGATCATCTACAAAATAATTAGTTAAACTGAGATTAGTATTCGCGGTGTATGAGTTGTGTTTACTGTTCATTTTACTCGATCATACGCAGGCCTCGCTCATACTATCCACAATAATTCAAGGGATAATCGAAGTATTTGTAACACAAAGAACTTTTTTTAAAAACTATACTAATTAAGAAATACTCTCTCTAAGTAATTTATACTCTGATTCAGAAGAATCACTGCTGACAGAATCTTCCAAATTTATAGTATCCAAATCACAGGTAGATAAAGTATCCTCACATATAAGATATTTCTGTACATTATTTTCTAATATGTTACTTTTTCGCGTTGTTACTGTTCTTTTTGTTGGTATGAGGGGTTTGGATGTTAATAGTTACCTCTTTAATAGACCATATCCATATATTATTTTTTTCTTTTCTTGGGTATGAGGTTTTATAATAAATTGAAAGATGGAAACTTTTTTATGCGACGTTTCGCTCCAACATAGTGGGCTTTTTCAGGCACAAGTGGTGTCTCATTTGACTGGAAAGTTCATCAATATCTAATAAAGAACA